TTCTTCCACTTCTTGGGTCAATAATCACACTGACATGCTGTTGAGCTGATCATGGCTGATGAGTAGTTCAGGTGCAAAGAACCATCTCCAGCTGTGTCTTTGAGCACGAAGGAAAGCACATGACAAAGGGTGTGTGTGTGTGTAGACTCCTGTCTCTAAGGAGAACGACCACATTTTCAAATACTTAATCACCCGAATTGGTTTTCTCTGGTTCCTTTCTGTACAGATCCGCAGGGGGGACACAGCATTTCACTGGGACTGTCCAACGACGTCAATTTATAAGCTTTTGTAAAGTGCTAGTGAGTTTGTTAAACAGTTCTGTTCTTCGGACCCTTTCGCATTACCGTTTTTGCAAGTCAAGGGCTAGGTATTCAGTAACTACCTCACGGGAAGCTCCAAACTGATAGAGCTCTTGCGAGCATGGATCTAAGTGTGTGCCGCAACAGGGTCCCACTGAGGTCTGTTGTGTGATCCCTACGGGGCGCGTTGAGCATAGACCCTTAAGGGGGATTACCACCGGCTTTCCAGCATCGTGAGATTCATTCCGGACTTTGCGTCTTGCTCGAGATAAGTGCTTCCAAGCTGCAGAGCTCACTGTCATCCCACCAAGAATGTCATGCCACTCAGCTAAGTATTCATTTTCAGAATGACATTTCACGCGGCCACGTAATCACATCAAGTGTCACACCAACTTTCCAACTCAATCAATTTGCTGCAAGTCCAATCCTCCTCCACGCCACTGCTTCCTGGCGCTTTCGACCTTGATCGGTCGTGATTTGAGATTCACTAGTCCTGGCCTTTGCCTGCGCCGGACACGGCTCTGATGCAGCCAACTGTTTCACACTACTTGCCACCACTGCCACAGCGATTTTCCGCATCCACATCCACATCCACCTTATCCAGTACCATCACCAGTACCACAGCCTACCATGCACCACTATCCAGTCCAAACTACGTCTCCTCATGCAGCACAACCTACCATTGTCTACGCTACCTGTTTCCCGCGCAGGACGGCCATCCCACATAGCACGCAACAAATATCCACCGCCCACAACAGCCAAGCCTCTCCACGGCACCACCATCCACCGCCCCTCACACTCCTCACTGATCAACGCCTCACAGCAGCCATTCAAAGAGCTGCTCTTGCTGCTGCCTTGTCTGATACACTTCCTGAAGCTAAAGTGTCCCCACTACGGCCTCCGCAGCACCATTGGAAGATCCTCCTTCACCTATGCCCAACCAAAGGGCATGAGCTTCGGGAGTGTGTTCGGCTAGCATGCGGCAAAATAGACTCAGGGAGCGCCGATACGGCTGAGTGTGTGCGTCAACTCCTGTCTCTAAGGAGAACGACAACATTTACAAATACTTAATCACCCGAATTCATTTTCTCTGGTTCCTTTCTGTACAGATCCGCAGGGGGACACAGCACTGGGACTGTCCAACGACGTCAATTTATAAGTTTTTGTAAAGTGCTAGTGAGTTTGTTAAACAGTTCTGTTCTTCGGACCCTTTCGCATTACCGTTTTTGCAAGTCAATGGCTAGGTATTCAGTAACTACCTCACGGGAAGTTCTAAACTGATAGAGCTCTTGCAAGCATGGATCTAAGTGTGTGTGTTTTCCCGAAACATCTCCAAAAGGAAACGTCTTTAAGCAGTGCTATTTTCATCGGAAAACGATAGGTGCAACATGTTTGCTATTACTTGCTTCGCAAATTGGACCAGGATGTTGAGGGTTTCCAATATCTCCCAAAAGCCGTGGGTCTGTCATGGATCTTAGATCATCCTCGAGAGAAGTACCTCAGATGGTTGTGTCAGATTCAGATGGCTACAGACTCCTTGTACCCATGTGACCCGTGTGTCAAAGCCTAGCTGTGCAAGAATTTTTGGATTTGTAGTTCACCTCCGACACTGTCTTGTAGTTGCGTTTGGAGTCATTTCGATGTTTGGCCCAAATTCTTGCGTAACACTCCAAACTAGAATGGTTTGCCATTCGGTGATCCAATGTTGCAAGAGGAAGCACATCAGTGGTGCCAGTAGCCCTCAAAAAGAAACACTTTTTGTACAAGTGCTGGTTCTGTGACTGTGTACATGTTCAGCTCTAAGGACTGGGGTGTCTATGAGTCTCCGCCCCAGAAGAGCTGGATCTCACCCAGGCAGCGCATCGTGCTCTTGGGCGACGCGGCGCACGCGACGGCGCCCTTCTTGGCGCAGGGGGCGAATATGGCGATGCACGACGCCTATTGCTTGGGGCAAATCCTGCTGAAGGAGTCTTGGAACTGAAAGGGCAAACCCCCCTCCCGCAACAACGGTTCCCATGAAACCTGAGAATTAACACGTGGTGGAAGACTCCTTTTCCATCCTTTAATGCACTGGTGTTGGGGTTCCATGTGGTCCTCTGCAACGGAGTATGGAGTTCCTTTGCATTCCGTTTCGTGACGTATGTTAGGCCTTTTCGCCGGTGGCGGAAGATCTTCCAGAGTGAACAGGGATGCTGTTGGGAAACCATAGAAGGAGACAATAAGACCATAATTACAAGGAAATTCTGCCTGTTCCCCATGTTATTCAGATGTGTTCAGTGTGCAGAAGTCGCCTGCTTTCCTTTGAGAAGAAGCCTGCTCAAGTTTTGAGGAAAAAAATGCGCCCTGTCCTGCGAGTCCACCGACCCGGCAGTACGTCATGGTTTGCTATCAAACGCTTTATGTAGCACCCCAAAAAGAATCTCGAGAGGTGTGAAGGCATGCTTAGTCTCTGCAACTGGGTCCAGGTGATAGAAATCAAGAGATCTACCCTTCGCCACCAGGCACTTGGAAAGCGAGGCCATCATGTGTATGCCAATCCTTCATCGGCACCATTTCGCCATCATTTCAGAAAAGACACAGAAAAAGAGCATGTTGTGTTCTTCGTTCCCGTCGCTTTCGCCTTCCTTGGGTCGCTTTCGCCACATGTGTGATGTCTGCAGAAGTCTCGCACAAAGCGAACGGGTCGCTCGGAGGAGGAGATCTCCTTGTCCAAGGGTTTGCAGCTCTACGAGGCGTCGCGGAAGATCTACTGCGAGGGGGTCGTCGCCAAGAGCTCGCGCATGGGGGAGATGCATACGGCCACGGGATTGAGGTGCGGATCGGTGGGCTGGGCTGCACGGTGAGGGAATGAGGTGTTTTCTGTAGAAAAGGGAGGTACTGTAGAGGACTGTGAAGGGTGAGGTAGAAAAGGCTGACTGGTTGGTGTTTGTTTCATGAAGCGAAGAAAGGAGACGAAAGGACGTAAGATGTCTTGCTGCAAGTGAGTTTAGATCTTGTTAGATGAGAGACATGTTTGTGCGCTGTTTAGCCGTGCCATCCTGGGCAAAGAAATCACGCCTGACAAGGAAGAGTCAAGGTGGTTGACCATGTAATAGCACCGGTTTCAAGCGTGAAAGGCATGAGATGACATGAGTATGAGTTTGGGAACTCACGCGTCCAACGGTAAAGCCTTGCAAGCAACCACCGTTGGCTCCCTTAGCAAGTTTGGGCATGCCTTTTCACAGAGCACATTCGGTACATGGCTGCTCCCACACATTCGGCCTGAGTGTGGAATGCCGGGATGGAATGCCTGAGTGTCGTTGAAGTACTTGGGTTGGAATTTCAACCTCTACTGTACTTGTTGTGTCTTGGGGTCTTCTGCAGCAGATAGTTACTGCAGACCATATAATGATCTTTTCGTGTCATCACAAAGGCATGTGACTGCCACACTTGGGAATGGTCAGAATAGGCCTTTCCTTTTGGACCAGCCCATTTCCGACATCGGCTCACCCGTGGGGTCGCAGGGCTGCCTTCCGGAACTACTTCCTGTCAGCATGTGTGCTACGCAACATGAGCACACTCTTTCGCACAGATCCGACCAAGCACATGCCCTGGGAGAAGCACGAGAGCCTTCTTCAGCGGCTGGGAAGGAGTGTCAGCTCCATTTGCTCCGAAAAGCCTTGGGTCCACTGGTGATCTTCTCTACCAGTGCGGCCCCCAGTGGCCTGGGAACATCTGCAGATGTTCTCCATGCTCTTGGACCTCTGTGGCTAGACAATCCTGTATAGGTCTAGCCATGGCCACTGGAAGGAGTTGCCATGGCTCAATGGTTGGTGGACTTGCCCCCAATCGAATGCGCTTCAGGCGCTACAGGCTGTGCCTTCAGACACAATTTTGCAACCGTTTGCAACGAAAAGTGCTTTGAGAAACCATCGCCTTCAAGGGCCCTGTACAGCTGTGACAAGTGGTCCAGATCCAAGGTCTACCATGCCATGCTGATTCCAACTTTGTAGAGTGTCTCGATTTGCTTGTCTTGACCTTTGGACCACGAACATGGAGTTTGCTTGGTGAAAATTGTATAGCCTTGGAGAGACGTGTCTCACTGTGCTCGGATGAAGATGTTGACCGGTGAGCGATCTCCCCCACTGAGAAAGTCGGCCAACGCGATCGAGCTCCAACGTGGAAACCAGCCCGTCCCGAACGGACGGGGCGGTGGGGACCGGGGACGGTGAGCGGACGCTCATGTGGATGGGTCAGGTAGACCCCTGAACTACTAGGTTCAATGGATAGACTCTTGACTTTCTAGGTTAAGATGTTAAGTGTCTATATGGTCTATATGTCTATACATAATCATATGTTCTTGGCATTGGAGGCCTGGAGGGGGTCCCCTTGGAAACAGCAGAAGTCAAGAGTTTCCTCTTCAGCGAAAACACTCGCCTTTTTAGTGCCGCACTTTTTTGTTTGATGCAAAGGAATAGTTGGACGTTGGTTTGCAGATCGACCTATCTATCACCACCGGACAGCCTGATGCTCTTCGTGTTCTGCATGTCTCTACCGAAGCACAACACGAACAGCCGCGCCTAAAAGATACTGCAAGTTATAGGCTGACTGTGGTATCCTCAGCACAAAAAAATGAATTTGTTGGCATCCCTCAACGATTTTGTCACCCATTCTTTTGAGTACCACCGCAGCTGGCCTCTTTGGAAAAACAAATGCTTCGAGGATTTGGTCGCCTTTGGTGCTGCTCTCGGCGCTTGTGAGAGATCAGGCGGAGAAGATCGGACCCGAATTTCAACGGCCCAAACACACGAAGTGGAGTTGCAAAGGTTTTTTTTCAACGGCCTCCCTAACTCGTGGATGCCAAGAACTTGTAGTGCCCAAAACTGGAAGCAATCCAAGGCATGACAAGTGAAGAAAGTCAGGAAAAAGACAAAGTCTAGCTTGGTTCTTTCCTGTTTCCAGGCACGAAATGCGGTTGTTTCAGCTGGGTGTTGCCAACTGCTTAGTCCAACCTCGTGGGTTGATCTAAACGAGTATGGACCCGATGTCACTATGGACCCAGCCAGCAAGATGAATGTTAAAGTCAGGTCAGGACCCTACATCCATTGTGTGTAATTAAATTACTGTGTACATTTAATTTACTCGATCAGAAGACCTCAAGACCCGGTGTGACCCATGCTATCCGATTGGATGCATCCCGTGCGGGTCTTTGTCCACGCAGATCCTGTTCGCGGCCACTCGGGATACCCTCGACAAACCCGTCCACGCAGGGCGTTGGGAGCAAGCGCTGAGTTTCTTGGGATCGATGCCTCACAGGCAGCACATGCCCAACACCATGTGCTGCTCGTCGATTGTTTTCCGAAGCAAGTCGATTCCAGGTCGGGATGACCCGAAAAAAGCAGAGACTGATGGATGTTCACTCAGCCTTACTTGGGCTGGGTGGTGTCAAACTTGGAACAAAACCTTGAACTATAGGAATCCAATGACAAAGACATATAAAGAGACTAGTAACAAGAAGCTACGAACGTAGCAAAGGGCATTACGGCTTGGAGCAAGGACGCTATACGAACGGGGCGCTCCTGGCATCGCTACTAGTAACAAGAAGCTACTAGATGCTACTAGTATACTAGTAGCAAACTGACGAAGATCTTTCACGGTCGAGACCACCAGTTCACCCCGGTGCTCGAGCCACCTAGAACTGCCACCTTTCCGGAAGAACCCAAAACAACGAAGAACCAGGGAGCACCTGGACCTCGCCTCAAGGCTTCAACGTGGCGCTGAGCGCCTGCGAAAAATCAAGCCAATGGGCTGTGGCACTGCAACTCCTTGGAACGCTTGGAACGGCAGATTTGGTGACTGGCCGGGGAGGGATCAGCGGTAAGATGAGCTCAGAGGATGGGATCCTAGAAGCCGTTAATGTGTGTTTTTTGCTCAAATATGTTTGTTGTTTGATATTCCGTGCCTTCTGAAATTATTCCAATGGTTATGTGGGTTCATGGAATAATTTTTTTGGAATAATTTCTACAGAATAATTTTTAGGCTTGGGGAGTCAGGGGGGACCCTTGCCATTTGGCACGGAATAATTATTTGATATTATTTGATAATAATGTTTTAAAAATATATACTTTTTAAATAAAAAATATATACATATTGCTTAAAATAATAGATTTTTTTGGTCTCCAAGATGAAGGGTCCAAAAAACATTGAACAAAATAGAGTTTTTTTTGTGTAGATGAAATCCTGTCATATTGTCTGGAGATATTTTCAAGCTGTAAAGTTACATGACCATATGTTAAAATATGTAGAAAATTAACCAAAAGTTACCTGCAGACTACACAAAGGTTAGAAAAATATAAATCAAAAATATCTAAATATTTATGATGTCTTCTTGAACAATTAAATTATCAGCTAACAAAATATTTAGAAGAGATGTCATTATCAAATATTTTGTTGCTAAGATTCTAGAGGTCTGTCATCGGCGACTTCAAAATTTAAGTAAGATAATATTGTTGTTTTTTTTTGATACGTTGAAGATCTACAAAAATATTCAAATTTTATAAGCATCGAAAAGACAAAAATAATCGGATGTCAGAGGTACGTCAATCGGAGACTTGAAAATCAATAAGAAAAAACATACATTTTTTTTAATACTTTTGTTTCACGTTTAGTAGAAATGTCAAAGCTGGTCAGAAAACAGTAACGTAAATGTGTTTCAGAGATCAGATTCAATCGAGTTTGATTGCTACATGCCAGAGAGTTTCTTGCCTGCGCCGCGTAAGCTCACTTTTTGCTAGAGCCGTTGCTGGACACCTGCCCGAGTCTTCTCCAAAGAATTCCAAGAGCTGACATGCCCAGGAGAAATTTTATGAAGTTTTAGGACACAAACCTGAAGGCTTTCGTCAGAGATCAACCGTTTTTTTTCATGTTTTTTTTATCGTTTTTCTTTTTCGAGACAGCATGGCGTCCCCTCCAAGCGGGCTCCCTGCCGCTTGCCATGTGTTGACTTGTACGGGGAACACTCTGCCTCCGTCGTGGAACTCTCGTTACAGCTCTTGGGTTGCTTGCTGTGTTTCTTGTCTTTGGGATTTGGAATTTTTTTATTGATTTTGGTATTATTTTTTGTCAATGCATCCAGATTTTGGTTGAAATCTGAACAGCCAAACAATCTTAAGTTCTAGGTCGAAGTAATCAACAGGTCTTCAAAGTATGCTTACAACTGAGGACTTTCCGTTCACCACGGCGACTGGCCGGCCTCGACAAAGTCATCATTGCTATGTTTGGGATGGGAACGCTTGGGCATCAACGGTGAGGCTTTCAACATTCATGCAGAAGTTGCAGAAGGATTGAAGGGACAGAAGTTGATGCATCACTATTTTTGTTTTTTCAATATAATAGAACGGTTTGAATGGGATTGGTTTGGGTATTCTGATGGTTCCTGGACAGGAGAGCAAAACAGAGGCTACATCGGGTGCTGCTGAGACACCTGCAGGAGACAAGTCTGCCTGCTGTTCAGGTGATCCATCTGGGGCTGCAACTTCGATTCCGAAAGCATTTTTTTGTGCGGCGACTTCGATTCCGATTTTTTTTTGGTTTTGGGGCCTGCTCACTGAACGTGGAAGGGTTCTTTTACTCTTTGATTTGAGGTGGAATCTCAACAACCCGAAAATGACAAAGAAGAGCTGCCTATGCCAGGGCCATCACTTGTGGAGGCTTTAGAAACAACAACACACTTTTTTTTGTTTTTCAATATACGTTAAGTAATTATTCCCAGGGTTGTTCACAAGTAAAATACTACTAGAATATATACACAGATTTCAGACCATGATAAAAGATCTAGGCCATGTAGATTTGCCCATAAAGTATTCAAAGGTTTGTTTCAAGTCAGATACTAGCAGAATAATTAGGTCTGGAAATGTTTCCAGACAGATCTTTGGGCAGGCGGCAACTTCTCAGCATCGCGAAGACAAACTTCAACATGAAGGAGAAGCTCATACTGCATCAGCAGTTCAACCTTCTGACGAACAGGCAAGAGTGACTAAAAGAAAGAAATAACCAGTGTTGTTAACCAGGTTTCTTTCAAGCCAGATAATTAAGTCTGGAAATGTTTCCAGACAGATCTTTGGGCAGGCGGCAACTTCTCAGCATCCCGAAGACAAACTTCAACGCGAAGGAGAAGATCATGCTGCATCAGCAGTTTCACATTCTGACGAACAGGCAAGAGTGACTAAAAGAAAGAAATAACACGACATAACATGAAATAACCAATGTTGTTAACACATGATTTTGTTGATCCCAAACATACACATTTGGAAAGGAAAGCCTTTGTTGTCTTTAAACACGTGCTGTACATATTATTCTATTAGTATGTTACAAGCCAAAGACTAAAAGAATAAATACTATGATCAATAGTTCAAGAAAAGCAATATTCTGTGAGAAACTATTCAAAAGGTCTTTTTCAAGTCAGAGACTCTTGGAATAAATAAATATATCTCACCATGAAGCAAGATAAATTGGGCAGGAACCTTCTGTCCAGTCCAAAGAAGACGATCATCGCGGAGAAGGAGCTCAGCCTGCATCAGCAGTTTCGCGATCTGAGAAACAGGCAACATTGACCAAAAGGAAGAACTAACCAACATTGTCAACACAGGTTAACACATTTTAACGCATATATTCAGTTGTATTCAAGTGTTTTTTAAATATTACATACATATGTAGTAACTACCAGAAGCTGTGGTTCTTATTTGCTTGATTCTGCAGCAGGCGGATTCTCTTCATCCCAAAGAAGAACATCATTGTGAAGAACAACGTCATCCTGCACCTGCGGAATTGCCATGCC